ACTGAAGGTCGCCTGTGGAAGCAGAGGGAAGTTAATGGTGTGCTTGATGGGAGATATTTTACCTTTTTCTAAATAAAAACATCATCCACAACCAGTGGATGAATGTTTAAGTTTCAGAATACAGGCATGTCTGCGACTAACAACTGTTTGACTTACGAAAGCTTGTGCTTACATACGAAATCCAATATTATTAACTTCACGGATTCAACGTGCAAATGTTTGCTCATACTTCTGGATATTTTATATTGTCCTGTATTATGGTTTGAGTACAAATTGAATTACGAACGTACTTGGGAACAGAACTTGTTTGGAACCCGGGGCCTCCTGTATAGACGTGTTTTCACTAGTGGCCAGAGCCTGGAATTGCACCAAGGCAGTTGACACAAAAACAGTGGAAAATGTTGACATAGGAATTTTGAGTGGTAAGTGTGACAGTAGAAACACAACCACAAAGCGTGACAATGGCAAATCCTGCAGTCAGGGCACAGTTGTCTTGAAATTTTTTGAAACGTATTGCAGGAGTGATTTTCCAAGACCTATTTTCACTTTAGCTCGGCCTTAAAGTTCTGATTCGTTATTGTAGCTATTTCCTAATCAGCCTGTTTCTGTGATGTTATCTGGAGCAGGTGTAGCTTGGTCTGGATTGTTGGTTCAGAGGTAAGGATACTATCACCGGGCAGCAAAAGCCTTTCTGAGTTGCAATTTTACACCATCTTTCCTGATAGAGCTCACTTCATGAGCATTGATGACAACCCTCTGTGTGAGCACTAGCCTCACTGCAGGATAGGAGTGGTAAACAACCAGAGAGTTCTGGTTTGAGGCTTTGATAAGCCAGAGATAAGTGTGCAAGGAGAGAGAGGGGACGAAGAAGCTATCCAGCCTCTTTTCGCAAAACCAGCCCCTCCACCTCAGGGACACCCGAGGAAACCTCCAAACAGTTTCCTATTCAAGTCAAACCATTCTTATGGAAGCCAAAACTGTACACAGTACAATTAGAGAGTCTGGGTGTCCCCAGTCTTTTTGCAAAGAGGAGTTGCATTTCAAATTTATTCTCGCTCAAAGTGCCGATTTAGCAAATTTCAGAAAGATAAGGATTGCTGCAACATTAAAGATAAGAGACACATTTGGAGATGGATGAGCCAGAGGGGAGTGTGGGGTGAGGCCACGTTGTCCATTCCTTTCCCAACCCCAACCCAAACTGTTGCACTCGCCTTTGTAAAGTTAAAGCCCTGCCCCGTTCCCAATTAAATTTGGAAATGTCTGTAATCTTATCTGAGTGGTCAATGACTGCCTCCTTCGTTTACCAAGCCGGTCCTTCCACACATTGCATAGGCAGGTTAATGTAGACTGATAATGTTACAATCAAAGGATTCCACACCTCTCAGCTGTGCCTGTCACCTGTCCATTTTTGATCAGCTCAGTCTTGGGTGAAAATGTTTTGCTAGCTGTCACACAATTTGAGGAAATCATTGTTCTTGTTCTGAATGGGAGGAACTGGGATAATTTTCCTCTGAGTAAAGGAAGTTTGTGGGAGGATTGAATTGAGGTGTTGGTAAAGTCAGGAAGGGACGTCAGGTTCAGTGGACAAGGGAGAAACTGCTCCTGGTGGCACAAGGGTCAGTCACCAGGAGGAGAAAGATTTGAAGAGAATTAGTGGAGATCAGGATCATTGCATTGTGATTTGGAATGTGTAGCTGAAAGGCTCATGGAAGCAGGTTCACCAGGAACTTTCACAAGGTTGGGCGGGGAGGGGGTGGAATACCTGAAATACATTTGCAGAGGGCTGGGGCACTAGGAAAAACCCATATTAGGCAGCAACTGTACAGACAAACTACATTAACATTTCAGGTTGATGGTCTTACATTGGGGACCAGGAGTAACTGGATGGCTCTTTCAAAGACTCTGCACAGGCACAATGGGCAGAATGGCTGCCTTGTTTGCTGAGGTTTCTCTGACGCAGTTTAATGCCAGCCCCAAACCTGACTAGTTGAAAAATTCCTATAGAATTTGATTTTTATTTTCAAACCCCTGATGGGGTGTTTGCCCTAATTGTGTTTATTTAAAATAACAGAACATTGCTAGATACTCTTCCACAGCTGTGTCCTGCTTGGGTGAGTCCATGAATAGGCAGGGTTTAGAAGGATATGGGCCAAATGCTGGCAAATGGGACTAGATTAATTTAGGATATCTGGTCAGCATGGACGAGTTGGACCAATGGGTCTGTTCCTGTGCTGTATGACTCTATAACCACAGCCTATGGACACCAGGGGATGGCTCACCTCCCAAAAATGATACTTTGAGTTTCCTTTGTCATTAGGACTTTTGTAATTTCATATATTGAAGATTTTTTAACCAGTTTGTTATAATTTTCTCCAACTGTAGGACTCTTGTAGCCTCCTAGGGCCCATTGATGCTGATTTTGGCACCTGACTATTTTGAAACAGTGGATTATCCCAGAATATTACTTAAATGGGGAAAGACTGCAGAAACCTATGGGAGAGGGATTGGGAATCCTTGTCCATGAGTCACAAAAAAACTACCATTCAATTTCAGGGAAGGTAAATAGAATATTGACTGTTATTTGAAAAGGAGCGGAGTGTAAAAGTAGGGAAGTTTTTGCTAAAACTATACAAGGCACTGGTCAGACTATAGATGGAAAACTGTGAACAGTTTTGAGTCCCTTTATCTAAGGAAAGATATACTGGCATGGGAAGCAGTCTAGAGACAATTCATCAGCTTCATTCAGGGTATGGAGAGACTGTCTTATGAGAAGTTGAATAGGTTTGTGCCTGTACTCATTGGAATATACAAGAATGAAAGGCAACTTTATTGAAACATTCTACAGTCTTGGGGGTACAATTCAATGGTAGAACATTTGACTGCAGATCAAGAGGTCTCCAGTTCATATTCAGATGCCCCCTGTTTTAAGGGCAGCACGGTGCTCCTAGGGCCCATTGATGCTGATTTTGGCACCTGACTAATTTGAAACAGTGGATTATCCCAGAATATTTACTCAAATGGGGAAAGACTGCAGAAACCTATGGGAGAGGGATTGGGAATCCTTGTCCATGAGCCCAGGTTTGATTCCATCCTTGGGCAACTGTCTGGGGTTTGCACACTCTCCCCATGTCTGCGGGGGTTTGCTCCAGTTCTCTCCCACAGTCCAAAGATGTGCAGGTTAGATGGATTGGCTATACTAAACTGCCCATGGTATCCACGAATGTGCAGGCTAGCTATGGGAAATACAGGATTGCAGAGATAGGGTAGGGGAGTAAGTCTGAGTGGAATGCTTTTTGCAGGGTTGGTGTGGGCTCAAAAGGGCAAAATGGCCTGCTTCCATACTGTTGGGATTCTATGATTCTTAAGGGACTTGAACTAGAAGATATAATCTCTGACTTTACCTCATGAAGGAGCAGCACTCCGAAAGCTTGTGATTCCAAATAAACCTGTTGGACTATAACCTGGAATCATGTGACTTCTGATTTTGTCTGACACCGTCACCTCCACATCAGAGTAAGGAGGTCACATATTTTAAGACAGATGAGGAGGAATTTCTTCTCTGAGGGTAGTGACTCTGTGGAATTCTTAACTATAGAGGGTTGAGGTTTGGTAACTAAGTATGCTAAGAAAGACAGATTTTTAATTGGTAAGAGATTGAGAGTTATGGGGAAGGAGTTGAAGATTATCAGATCAGCCATGATCTCATTAAATGAGAGAGCAGACTCAATGGGCTGAATTAGTCCCACTTCAGCTCTTGTGTCTAATGGAGAAGTCAAAGGCCAAATAAAAATGGGTGGAAAGCCAACTGCACCAGCAGATAGCAACTCCAGAATTGGGAATGTCCTCGCCCTGTCACAGTTTACCAGAACGTAGCATTGTCCTCTGTTTACAAGATCAGGAACATGAACAAACAAAACTTCCAAAGGCAAATGGGATACTTGTATTACATTGCATTAGTTAGGCCACTGCTGGATTACTGTGTTCAGTTCTGGTTGCCTCACTAAAGGAACTAAGGGTTAGGGTGAGCAGGTGGGTAAGTGGAGCTGAGTCGACAAAAAGATCAACCATGATCTTATTGAACAGCGGAGCAGGCTCGATAGGCCAGATGGCCTACTCCTGTTCCAATTTCTTATGTTCTTATAGGAAGGATGCAATTACATTTGAGGGAGTGCAGATTCAACAGGGAGTTGCCTGGGCTAGAGAGTTTCAGCAATGAAGACAGACTGAATGGGCATGAGTTGTTTTCCTTAGAGCAGTGAAGGCTGAGATGTACAAAACTGAGAGACACATAAGGGGAGAAAGATCCCCCGCTTAGTGGTAGTGGTGGTGGTGGTGGTGGGCAGGGGGGGTTGCGTGGAGACATAGATTTAAGGTAAGGAGCAGGAGGGTTTAGAAGGGATTTAAGGCAGCATTTTTTTTTCACCCAGAGGGTGATGGGTATCTGGAACTTACTGCCTAAAAAGGAGGTACAGTCAGGAAACATCAACACATCTAAGTATTCAGATGATCACTTGGATATTCATAGCATAAAAGGCTACGTGAGGGGGCTCTTGTGCAGCACTGTCCTTATCACTGAGGCAGGAGACCTGAGTATGAGTCCCACTTGCTCACAGAGTGGTGTCATAACATCTCTGAACAGGTTTATCAGAAAATAACTACAAGGCTACAGGCCAAGTGCTGGAAAATGAGACTAGATAAATGCTTATTGACTGCACAGAAATGATGAGCCTCTTGCCTAAGCTGCTAAACTATTTGACCCTAAAACAAATCCCATGTCACTGTGCAGTGAGACAAAACTAAATGGGTCTATGGACAGGACCTACAGACCTAACATAGACACCCCTCCCACTTTAAAAACTGTCCCTGTGAACACATCTACCCCCTCCTGCCCTGCGGGTGCTCCACGGCCAAAATGACAGTGTGACACATTTACATTTAGAAATTACCATCACAAACATGGTCAACAGCATTATTACACAGCAGTGAGGTGATTGCATCGAGCAGATCCAAGATTGTTTTAATATACGTAACAAATTAAATGCTGTTAAATCATCACCCATTTGACCCAGAGAGAGTACGAACAAAGAAATTAATTAGAAACAAAGACCCATTCCTCAAATGTACAGCTTTTACTCAACTGCTCCTGGGACTGGATTTAAAGTCATTTTACAGGATGGTTGGTGTGGATATATATATATGTATATATTAAAAGACTTTTTGTTGCAATTTTGTGTTTTTTTTTCCTCCAAATGTTAGAACTCTTGCAGCATCGAAAACTGTCCACTGTCACTTCAGGACACAAAGTGGGAGTGGGGAGAAGGGGTGGGCGGGGAAGTGGAGGGGAGAAAGAGTTGGCAGTGGGGTAAGAGTTGAGGAGGGAAGGGGGGGGAAGAGTGGGGGAAGGGGGAAAGAGTGGGGAAGAGTTGAGGATAGAAGAGGGGGAAGAGTTGAGAATAGACAATGGAGAAGAGTTGAGTTGAGGATGGAAGGGGAGGAAAGAATTGAGTTGAGGATAGAAGAAGGGGGAGAAGAGTTGAGAATAGAAAAGGGGAGGAGAGTTGAGTTGAGAATAGAAGAAGGGGGAAAAGAGTTGAGTTGAGGATAAAAGAAGGAAAAAAAGAGTTGAGTTGAGGATAGAAGGGGAGGGGAAGAGTTGAGGATGGAGGAGAGGTCGGGGAATGGGGAACGGGGAATGGGGATGGATTTCATTTCCACTGTTCTGAAGGAGGCTTGTCCAGCCACTTCCAGCCCCCGTTGGAGGAGTCCTGTCGTCCGGGGCTAGGTCCGGGGCCAGGGCCAGGGCCAGGCCCTGGTCCAGGGGATGAGGATGAGACGTGGGCATTATGGTACTTGCGCATATGGCGGTACAGGTCCCCGGACTGAGAGTAGCGACGGAGACAGAAGCGGCAGCTGTGGGGTCTCTCACGGGTATGCACCAGGGCATGGCGCTTCAGGCTGTAGGCGCAGGAGAAAGTCTTGCCGCAGGCCCCACAGGTCGGCAGCTCATCCTCGGACCCAGCTGGGCCCGCTCCAGGCCCTGGTGGCAGGTCCTGGAAGTACAGCTTGGCTGAAAGGCCCAGGGCGGCCGGAGAGCCCAGGTCTCCCGGAGAGGCCTGTGGAGCGGGAGCAGGAAGGCCCCGGTGCTGCTGGTGGTAGAGGCTGGGAGCCGGGAACGCGTCGTCCTCTGAAGGCATCTCATCCTCATCCGAGATCACAATGTGGCCCCCTCCCCCTCCACTGCAGGCCAAGGCTGGGGCCTGGGGTTGGGCTAACTCTGTGGGTGGGCAGCCTCGGGATGGCTGCTGGAAGAGCTCATCAAGCTGCGGGCAACAGGAGGCTGCTGTCTCCACCTCCTCGGCCTCGCCCTCGGGTGGCTCCTCACCGCCCTCCTCCTCCGAGAACAGGTCATCCTCCACCTTGACAGTGATCAGATCGCCGTCCTCCTCCGTGTCTCCGTCCCCGGCTGCCTCCTCGTCCTCCTCCTCATGGGGTTTCCTCCTCCGGCCACTCCTCTCGCCCGACACCCCGGCCCAGCGAGGGCCCGAGGCCTCAGCTGTTGACGACGAGGGGCTGGCCAGGACGTTGCCAGCTGGCCTGCTGGGGTAGGCCTCCGTTTCCATGCCGGCCTGGCTGGTGGTAGTGTCTGCCGGCTCGGGGGGCCAGCGGCCAGGGCCCGAAGCCGGGGCCTCAGGCTGCAACAGCAGGAGGGAGGCCCCAGCCCCGTTCTGCTCACCCTCCGGGCGCCCTGAGGCATACGGCAGCTCCGCTGGCAGAGGGAGCTGCCTCCGAGGCAGTGGTTGCGGAGGAGGTGCAGGAGGAGGAGGTACAACCCCCTGGTAGGAGGTGGACAGGCCCGAAGTTCCGAGGCCTCCTCCTGCGCCTGGTGGTGGTTGCTGCTGGGCCTCGTCCTCCTTGCGGGTGCTGTCGGCCTCAGCCAGGGCCCGGGCCTTCAGGCGGCCCTTGCACACCTTGACGATGTCGTTCATGTGCAGGAAGCTGGCGGCAGCCAGGACGTCTTCGGTGGGAGCGCCGCTGAAGCGGAGCCGGCCCTCGTACATGAACTCGAGCAGCAACGAGAAGGCCGGCGCCGTCACTATCTCGTCGTCCAGGCCCACCACGTCCCGGCGGCCTGCTGTCACTGCCGCCGCCTCCTCCTTGTAGAACATGTGGAAGTAGGTGCTAAAAGAGGCCAGCACGGCTCGGTGGGCCTGGAACTGCACCGCCCCCACCAGCACCGTGCAGTCACACAGGAAACCCTGGTGCCTCTGGTCCCGCAGGCTCTGCAGCAGCACACGGCCGTGGTCGGGGAATTCCATCGGGGTGAACTGTGTGTTGGGGGGAGGGCGATCAGGGATTGTCTCAGACTCACAGGGAGCCTCAGGCCTTGCTCATCCTGGAACAGAAAAGAGAGTGGAGAAGGATCATTCAGTGACACTGGACTGAATGAAGGCAGCTTCCATATTTACCAAATCTGGATGGTCCTTGGAGAAAAGAGAGTGCCTGCCCCCTCAGCACTGACCCTCCGACAGCACGGCACCCCCACACAGCACTGACCCTCCGACAGTACGGCACCCCCTCAGCACTGACCCTCCTGCGTCACGGCACCCCCTCAGCACTGACCCTCCTGCGTCACGGCATCCCCTCAGCACTGACCCTCTGACGTCACGGCACCCCCTCAGCACTGACCCTCCGACTGCACGGCACCCCCTCAGCACTGACCCTCCTGCGTCACGGCATCCCCTCAGCACTGACCCTC